TCAAATACTTGAATTGCAAGTATTTCTCAGATGGTCCCCAACTTTTCAGAGCATACCCTTCAGAGCATACCCTGGTGAGACGTAGAAGACATCTGCTGGCAAATGTAGCGCAAACGACGTTGAAAACGACTGACTATAACCACTTAAAAACATTTATACTTCAAGTAGTTGCAGAGAAATATTGGTACAATGCAGGAAGATTAACATGCAGATGTTTTATTAATGAATGAAACGGCAACTTGGGAAGGTGTCTAATGCCAGGTTAAAATAAGTCTAATTAACCTTTCCAGTTAATACAAAGGCAGGAGTGGGATTCAGCTGGTTCAGACTGGTTTGGGCGAATCAGTAGTTGTGATGCCCCGGCGTTATGCTGTCCTATTTAGCTACGTTTTTTAAGACATGCGTGTCAACTCGCAAAGCATTTCTGGTCTGCTCTCGAGTTGCCATGGGCAGGAAGGGGGGAGAACTGATGGAGCAATTCAGCAACCACGTTCAAAACCACATACCACGCATACCTTCCTCAAGGTTGGATCTCAGATTACCAGAGCTGGCCTGTGAGGCATATTTTCTACAGCCCGCGAAAGTGCCTCTTGGATAATGTGATTTATGACACAGCCTGAGAGGAGGGGGTCAGAATTGAGCCGTAAATTATGTGCGGCAGAGTTGACTTCATTTGGGTAGTTGCTGACATGTTGCTCCTAATAAATGACTGGATTTCTTTTGAAACTTGGCTTGAGGCCCATGAGGTAATTAGGGCATTTGTCTGAACTCTGACTGTGCATGCATGAGCAAAGCACATACGCAGAAGGCGCTCTCTCACATTTTCAGTGCTGGGGCAAACCGGTTGTTAATTCATGTGCCGCCCACCTTTGTAGAAAGGTAAAATCTTTGTGAAGATTTCCCGTCCAGTCATTTCCAATCTAAGAGGTGGTACTGATCTCCATTTCTTAGTCTAGGGAGCTAGCATTGTTCAAAGATGTTTTTGTGGTCATGTGGCCAGCATGACTATACACCAAGGCACAAGGAATACTGTTACCTTCCACTGAAGTGATACCTATTTATCTACTTGCATTTGCATGCTTTCAAACTGATAGGTGGGCAGACTCAACGGTTAAAGATGCTGAGAAAACCCACAGCCCAGGTTTGAGACTTGAGCTCTCTGTAACGGGGTGAGTTCCCGTTACTTCCCCAGTTAATAGAAACTCTTTACAATTTCAAACAGAAAATCTTTTCCATTGCTTTGGAACTGGAGAGACCTGGGATTGATTCTTCTTCTCTATGCAAACCAGTGATGGGTTGCCCCTGGTTCACACCGGTTCTATAGAACCGGTAGTAAAACTGGTGGGAGGCCCCGCCCACTGACCTTGACGTCATGAAAATGCTTCTGCGCACGCACAGAAGAGCACGCGTGCAGCCCTGTTGCAAACCGGTAATAAAGTAGAACCCATCTCTGATGCAAACCCTATGCGCAACAGAGTTGGCCGCCCTAATAAAAATGTATGAAAAACAGTAATTCAAAACACCAACCAAAAGAACTCTATGAATATTAGTCACACTCTTAAGAAAAGGTTTCCCCTTTTAAAATGAATGGATGCAGATTTCCCTGCCTGTTCTAACAGAACTGCATCTTCCTTAAGGATGTCTATTTGTTTATTTAAATAGATTTCTAGGCTACCTGGAATCTTTCATCCTGCCTGGGACAAGAGAGCCCTCCAAAGAATGAGCATCATGGACAAGGTGTCATCTGCAGATCTTTTGCAATCAAAGAAGCTGACCATGTTATAGAATAAATAGTGTGCTGCTATTTTCTCAGCCATACCTGAGAATAGGGAAAAGTTCATTTACACATTAAAAACTGGCGAAGTTGACTCTGGGAATGCAGATACCACTCGGTCACTCAAGAGGTCATCAGTCCTGCCCTGCAAAAAGTGCTCCATGAGGTGGCCTAATGATAGGGGAAGCCGGAATATTGTAAGCCTAAAGCAGTTCTATGGTAATTTCGAGCATGTCAGCTGCTGCATGAAAAAAATATTGAAGTCTAGCTTTGCATCCCCAACTTTCTTCATACATTTTTACTTGCTCTAAAATAGTTTTCATGTTACATTTGTTACATTTGTGGTTGTTGTTGTTTTTACATATTGAGATCTTAAACTCCAACAACCTAGTCATAAGAAATGGACAGAAGAAAAAGAAGAGAGAGGCATGGGAAAATACTGTATAGTTATTATATAGTTATATACTCTTTGAATATAATGGTTTGTTACCTTCAAATTTTGCCTAACGTTGTAGTGGAAAAATATCAGAACTCAAGGAATTTGAATAGTTTAGCCAAAAATCAATTTCCTGGATTGTTTAAAAATAGAAAACATACAAGAAATTACTTTCTTATTATCTCAGATCAGTCTTAGTTGCAGCAACACTTGATCAGCCTTGACTGAATCTGGGAAGCTAAGCAGTGGTAGGCCTGGTTTAATAATTGGGTGGGAGACCACTAAGGCAGGGGTGGGCAACTGTGGCCCTTTTACAACCTGTGGACTTCAACTCCCAGAATTCCTGAGCCAGCTTCCACCCCTGCACTAAGGCATTCCAGGGCTATAATTTAGGATATTAAAAGACATCCTAGAAGAGGACCATGTCACATGGAAAACGATTTCTTGTGACTGTCAAGAAAGCTATATGGATGTGTCCATGAGATTATTAGGAAGTCAGCTTTCACTGGAATGAATCCAGTGAATTTTCTTCCACCGTTTAAAGGGCGAGGAACTGAAGTTATCTAGACATAATTTCTCTCTCCCATGTTCCAATCCTTGCTAGCATACTGTTTGGTCTAGTCACACAGGGGTGTCAAACTGGCAGCCCGCGGGTTGGATGCATCACATGCAGGCCATCCCCACCCCACCTCCGTGAAGGAGAAAAACGTCACAAAATGTCATGTGACAGCAACGTGACACCACAAGTTTGGTCTAGTGGTTAAGGCACCGGACTAAAAGGCAGGAGATTCTTAGTTCAAATCCCGCCTTAGGCTGTGAAAGCCAGTTGGGCCAGTCTGCCTCAGCCAAATTTACCTCACAGGATTGTTGTTGTAGGGAAAATAGGAGGTGGAAGCTGTGTTGGATCTGTTTGCTACCTTGAGCTATTTGTAAAAATAATAAAAGTTTACAAACAAATAAATATATTTGCTCCTGGTTATGGATACTAGGCTTCAGGATAAATAATCATGTTGGTGTGAGCTTTACTAATAAATCTATGGGCTGAAAGTCTGCTTGAAAAGTAATGCCAACATTTTACCAATAGATGGTGCTTAAACAGTTGCTCTTGAATCACTTTAAAAAAATAAAAACCCTAACGTATAGCTTTATGGAGATAGTTGACAAAGGATACTATGAGGAGCTTTTAGACTGTGAATAAACTGTGAGATTCCTCTTAAACTTTGTTTCAACTGGACACTAAAAAACAACAACTGAGTTTGTATAACTGGGAAAGGTGCAGAAACAATGGCCAAAATAATCAAAAGGTTGGAAAAGTTAGTATTTAATTTTAAAAATTTAATAATAATTTAAAGTTAGTATTTAATTTTAAAAAAACCTACCCTAAATACTGGGGAGATGGAGTCACGATATTTATAAATTTAAGGAGTACATAAAAGTTATGTCATTCATCTAAATTCCAATTAATAATTTTCAAGGAAAACATAGTCTTATTCACACACATTGCAAAGTCAACCAATAGAGTTTGCTCATCACCAGATTGGAGGATTTTAAGGGAAATTAAATCAATTCTGGGGAATGTCTTATGACTACCATGTTGCATCACTATCATGTCCAGCATCAAAAATAGAAGCACGGTTCCAGCAGACACTCTTATCCAATTATTGGCATTTGGCTTTAAAAACAAAAACAACAGTTATTAGACTAATAAAGGATATTTGTAGCTCAGGGTTGAAAAGTGTTATTAGATTTTTTTTTCTCCAGTTCCTTCAATAACTTAGACTACATTAAGACCTAACATTGCAGAGAAAATAGAGAGCTATCAGAAATTTGCAGTTGTGCACCAGCTCTTCAGAGTTGTATTCAACCTGAAAAACTGCAGACACCACCATCCTCTCTAAAACAGCCCCAATCCGTCTTCTTTTATAGGTAGTCCTTGCTTACCAACCACTCATTTAGCAGCTATTCAAAGTTGTAATGGTGCTAAAAAAATAATTTCATGGCCAATTTGACTTTTGCAGCATTCCTCGGTTATGTGATCTCCATTACATCAGTATGAGTTGTCATGTGTCTGACCTGTGGGTTTTCCCCCCCCCCCATTTCTTCCTTTCTCCCAGAGCAGAGATTGGAGAGGAAGAGATTTCAAGAGAATAAGCTGTTTGTGTAATGTGCTGGCAGTTCTCAGCCATAGGTTACCATTGCAATCACATTGCTTTCCGTACAAGACAATAAGCACGCACCTGAGCATTCCAAAGGGAATGGTTTTAAGGAGGCAAAGAAAAACTGAAGGAGTGAAACTTAGTAGTTTTCTCAGTTTCAAGCCAGAAAGCGTAGTTATCTTCACATGATTTCCCATTTAGCAATTGCTTCACTTAGTGCGGGAGTTGCCAATCTCCATTAGGACATGGAATGAGGACTACCTGTATTGTAATGTTTATCGTTCAGGCATTAGTAGCACACTCAGCCTCCTGTGAATAAAACATGGCTTTCTAGAGTAATGGTTGAGTCAAAAGGCAGGTGAGTGCATTCGCTGTTATAGATCCTGCATAAATGTTTTTGAAATAATGTTTTATATGGGAACACACTCCATTGCCCTTCAGTATGATTTTCATCGGGTTCTTTTCTTCTTATTATGGCACTTTCATTTTTAAAAGTAGATCTAGTCACAATTTATCTTCTGTAAATTAACTGAAATTGATCCTACTCAGGATCTAAAAGTAAATGCATAATATAATAATTAGAAATAAGCCTCCGGCTTTCTTATTCATCCTCTATAAATATGCAAAATACAAGAACTATTCATTAACTTATTTATAGCATTAATTTTGTTTTGTTAAATAAGAGGTTATTTCAGTTCCATCTTGATTTATGCCGCACACCCCCATTCCAAGTTCAGTGGCTCTGAATTCCTGGATTGTTTTATATGCTTATTGTTTTTTTAAGGAATATACAAATAATTCCCATTCAATAACCACATATTCAGAAACTGCTATAACGTATGAATGGTGCTCAGTAACTGGTCCTCAGCACTTCTGCTGTCATGTGATTGTGATCTGGGTGCTTGGCAACTAGCCAGGATATCCGATTATTGAAAATCTCCCGCCCCACCCACCCCCATGATGCAATTGTGATTTCAACCTTCCCAGTTGGCTTCCCACAAGCAATGGAAGAGCTGGCAGGAAGTTCTGATCATGTAAGATCCTCACTTAACAACCTGCGTGGTCTTTGCTTAACACAGCAACATAGCAACTGGTTGGATTGCCATTGCTAAGCCACGACATCATGCTTTATGATCTCATCACCTAGCAATAGAAATTCTGATCCTAATTACTGTCATTAAGTGAGTATTACTTGTATACAAATTTCTAAATTATTGTATTTGTAACTTGGGCTCATCTAAAGAGGTCAAGAAGAAGATCAGATGTTATTTCATTTTATCCTCAAAATAATCCTAATTCATTCTAGCCATTCTAGCCATTTTCATTTCTAGCTGGGCCTCAGCTGCCTTACTGGACTCTCGTATCTATTATTTAACACTGAGCATTTTATAGTCTCAGATTTCGTATTACAGAAAGCCAATTATCATAAAAAAATACGTGACTGACTTTGGGGTTTTTTGTTCTGTTACAGTTTAGTAATTTATACCAGTACATGTTGAATAAAGAAAATAGCTATAAATGTATCTGAATAAATTTAGAATTGCAGTTGAATTAAAAAAAAAAATAGAATTTAGCCTCATTTGTTAGGCAATTGGGTGACAAAATCATGTTAGTCATCTGTGTTATATTTGTCTCTTAGCAGGTTCTGATCATCCTATATAACCATGATGGTGAAACTTGTGGCACGCGGAGCCATTTTGCCTGGCACGAGCATCACCCATTCCTCTTCCAGGTTTCTGGAGCGAATGCGCACGCAATGATCAGCTGGCCTTCATGCATGCAGCAGTGCTGGAAAGTGGAAAGTTTTCTGGTGTGGGCATGTGTGCTGGCCAGCTGATCGTCGTGCACGCATGCGCACGAGTAACCGGGAGACTAGGTATCTGGGAAGTTCATTTCCTGGCACATGCATGCGTGCACATGCCCACTTTGCAGCTCCTCTTCCGGGTTGCGCTGCTGACGAGATGCCAAAAAGGTTCACCATCACTGCTATATAACAATCTGAATTCTCTAATCAATGGCAATACTTCTTTGGCAGTAGTCCACATGTTTCCTGGATCTTTGTTCTTCTGTGCTGGCAGAAATTTTTATTCCGAAGAATTTATTTTGGCTTTATACAGAGAGATTTCGTAGCAATTTTCTTAGTTTCATCATCTGTCTAGCTCTTGGGATGACACCATCAGCTTTTCATTTGCATTTCTTCTTGTGGACATCACGCACGGGAACTGTGTCACCTGTACAAAGACATAAAAGGTAAACAAAAATAGAAAAAATAATAATGAAGATTTAAATACAACATAGTTTTGCTGTCTGCCAAAGAGGCGTCACTACCTTAAGAATCTGACAACTGACAGCTACTGAACAAAATTTGGCAGTGCTGCTGACTTTCATATGTGATGAAAAAGATAAATTGTGGAAATGGGACTTAGTAAATAGAGAATAACATTCTTACCTCTGCTCACTTCTCAGCATGGTTTGTGAATGGAGAGCTAAGCATTTGTTTGCTTTAGCATGATGTGTGAATCTACCCATTATGTCTAGGGATTATCTGTAAACAATAGCAGTAATGGATTGCTCAACAAATCCTAGCTTAGTATTATATACAATAGGAGTATTGAGCCTGCAGCAAAAGAAACCATTTACTAGGAAAAGGATCTTTTGTTACCCACAAATAGCCAACTCTTGGCTGAGAATTAAACCACTTTCCCAGAGTATCTCTGTGGTGGGACACATCAGGGGACTCTAATCTAGATCTCATAACTTTCTAGTTTTATGCTGATTAGCCCATTTATTCAGCCTAGCCAAGTCTTATTTTCATACGCTAAGTAATAGACAGTACAGGAATATTTCCTATTCTCGAAGAATATACTTATCGTAGCCTGCTATTTTTTAAAGTCTCATTTTCTTATGAATGTACAAATCAATCCGTATCTGAAAAACAATGACAAATGGACAGGATCCTGGATCAAAACATACTCAAATAGATACATAAATGTGTTCTGATAACTTCAAAGGATTTCTTTGTAAGAGTAAACTCACCCCAAATCATGCGGTTGAGAAATCTTCCTAATATGTAGTAAAAGAAAATAGTGACAGCAGCAATCCCTGAAAACACTATCATGCCAAGTGGACTTAAAAACTTGAAGATAGGATATAGCCATTTTCCTGTTTTAGCAAAAAAGTAGAGGATCCTGGAAAGAGAATTAATTTCTTTCAGTTAGGATATCTCATTATGAAAGAAACAAGATCAATTGGTCCAAGTTTAATTATAATTAGAATACTCAGTACAATGAATAGAATACTGAGTTGATCAGTACATCAACTGTGCAACTATAATCCATCCGTTCATGTGTCCATGTGTCCATTCATCCATCCATTACAGAATTTATATTCCTGCCTTTCAACCGGAAAGATTCCCAAAGAGGCAATGATCTCACTGAGGATGGGATCAATTCCATGGGATCTATGATCCTTTTGATACACTAAGCCTTCTTCAGTATAGATATGCACACTACATATACAAAAGCCTGTCGTTCAACATTGTCACTCATGTGACATCACGCCACATCCTCCCTACTGCAGTTCTAGTGGAGAGGTCTAGTTAATGTAATACAGGTAGTGCTCAAGTTACAAATGGAATGGAGCCTGCCCATTCCATTTGTAACCCGAGGATTCATGGGAGTGAATCACGTACCTTGAACAAGATCACTCCCTCCTTTCGCCCACACATTCACTAATCGAATGCAAGGCTTGTTAAGTGCACAAAGTATTTCAGGGTGGGGAAAGCCATGGAGGGCCTACTGATGGAACAGGCCACCTGCCTAAGACTACTCAAGGCCTTCTTGACCCACTGAAATATCTCATGCTCCCCAAATTGCTTTTCCCCCCAACCTGCCATGCCGGGTCACTTAGTTGTGAAGATCTAGCAAACAGTGTCCTCTCCAGCCTCATGCGCCCCGCCGACACACAATTCGGCCCTCTCAGGGCCTCCTCCGGCCCCCAGAAGCTCCATTTCAGCCTGCAACGGGCAGGAGGAGGCCTATGGACAGACAACCGAACAGGGCTTCCGAAGGACAGATCTGCCCGTCAGAAACTCCATTTCGGCCAGCAAGGTGCCGGGCAAGGCCTCTGGGTGGCCAAACGGGACTTCCGAGGGGCAGATCCGCCCATCGAAAGCTCCATTTCAGCCGGCAACATGCCAGATGAATATTGCAGAGCCTCTGCGGTTGTTTGTAAGGGGGAACAACTGCCATGGTGCTGCAAGATTTATAGTTTCAGGCCTCGTTCAGAAACGCTAGGGGGCACTGATCGTAACTTCAAACGTTCGCTAAGGGAATGTTCGTAACCCGGGGATTATCTGTAACTGAATTGAAAATATTCATGAAATAAGTTTTAGAGATAACTAAACAAGGCAATCATTAAACAAGGACTACCGATAGTGAACAATATGAATGTTTCTGATTCAATATTTCTCTCTGAAGTCTTCTAATGGCAAGGTTGAGGAGTATTACATTTTCTCAATATTGTTGCCTGAAGCCAGGGGCATCCATGGATGAGAGGATAACAAACAAACAAACAAACAAAAAAATCAAGATGGAGACTATGGGTGCTCATTTGAAGTTCTGTTCTTTTTTTATATACATCATGTGTCTCTGTCTTCAATTACATGGATAAAGCTACATTTTTAAAAAAAAAATTTACTCCCTTGTTCATGTCCCTGCCTGAGATTCAGAAATAACAGCAGAAATAGGGCTGTCTTAATATATATATCAAAGAAAAAGATAAGATGATGTTAGCACCTAATTTCATATGCAGAAGCCAACCAGTATTTCAAATCTGGGAATGATCCAATTCATCTGAGGAGATGCAAAGCAGGCTGATGGAAAGACAGAACTCTATCACCTATCACTTCATTTTATTTCCACTGTCCACCATCTCTTGCCTGAAGCAACCAGTTAATTTAGTTGATTATTAGGCTAGCCTAAAGCACCAAATATCTAAATAACAGCTAATATCATTAGGCTAGTCTCTTCCTCCTACTTCTAATCTGGTTTACGGACTTTCTCCAATACATGTGTGTGTGTGGGGGGAAACCCCTTTAAAATAAACTTCCCTAGCTAACATTCTCTTTTTTGTATTGCAAATCCTATAATTCAGGGTTCTAAGGAACTTGTAGTTCAGTATTTCTGGTGGGTACTAAGTTGAAGAATACTCGTGTTCACTTTGTATTTGAAGGAGGGTCAAGAATATGCTATGATCCCCATTTGCTGTTAGGAACTATAATTTTGCAACATCAAGAGGACGAGGAAGTGTTTCCCATCCTTGGTTTTAAAACGGAAGTTTTGAGAAAAGTTTAAAACAGCAAAACTAGTAGTAGAGGCAGTGATTTGTGCAAACTGGTTCTATGGAATAGCAACTTGATAACCAACATGAATAATCTGGTTAAATTGAGAAGTTGATTATCCCCTCATGTGACGTAGGTAAAGGTGTATAACTCAAATTCCAAAGTCCCTCAAAGTCAGATCAGAGTTCACTGTAGCTGTATTTGAGGATATTTTTTCCCTGTAGGAAGGAGAGAAGGAAGTTGCTTCCATTGAGGACACTGACATTGGATATTCAATTAGATGAAGAACAGAACTGTTTCCTCACATTTTGCCAAACGTCATGTAAAAACAAACAAACAAAACCCATTTATTCATTTATTTTTAGAAACTTACCAAAGTAGATAGGCCAGTATAAGCACTCCTAAGATACTGAGGCTTTTACCCACTGATGGATACTGATGAGGGATAACAAACATTTCTACCAGGGCCAAAAGAAATACCAAAGTGTGCTGGAAAAAAGACAGTGCTTTAGACAAACTGCATTTGTGATGCAAAAAATTAAAAAGTACAACCCACCCTAGTTACACAGAGTTATATTTTGATGTAAGTGTATCTAAGGATATAGGAAAGTCTGGCTACCCCGACAGAGATCTTCCAAAGAATTTGCAGAGGTACCAACAACAACAAAAAAGTGGAGCGCTTCCATCTTTTCCTCCTTAATGTGGCTTTTTAAATAGAAAATTGAAGGAAGGAAGTTGGGAGCGTTTCAAACAGAAGTTGTAGTTCTCTGGGTTCTAAGGATAACGCTACGAACATGGCAGGGCAATTGAAGAATAAAAGTCCTTCTGAAAGAAGCAATGTACCTTTTAAAAACTTTATAATTCTTTTATCCCAAACCTCCAGATGGCAGCAACTGACCAGGCTTGGGTCTATTCAGAAGCAAAGTCATGTTGAGCCTGGTTAAGTGTACTTGAATGGAGAGTTAAATAATCCCAGAAGAAAACAGCAAACCATCACTGTTTGCCAAGAAATGTTTTATATAAGTGAGTCTATGAAGTCACCAAAATCATCCTTCTAGATTGTACAGTCCCTTCTTTATTTCTGAACTCACTTTAACAACTCAGGTATTTGTTGTATTATTACTATATAAGTAATATATAAATGTGTGTGTGTGTGTATATGTATGTGTGTGTGTGTGTGTGTGTGTGTGTACATGTGTGTCAAACTCTCCATGTCATGTTGATGTCACATGATATATCACATGTTTTTTGCCTTCACTGAGCAGGGCGTGGCCTGCATGTGACGCATCCGGTTCGACACCCCTGTTAAAGTATACTATATCAGGGGCCTCCAATTCAGAATTCTGGGAGTTGATGTCTGCCAGGCTTAAAGTTGCCAAGGTTGGAGATCCCTGTACTATATTATTACTTATATACTATATAAAAGACACGTGAAAGGGTTGAATGGGTAATTATGAAACTAAATAAACAAAAGGTTTGTGGATGTTAAAGCTGAGCTGGGCAAGGATTTTTTAAAAAATCATTTAAGTTTGTCTCATTTTGGTTTTATCCATTTGTAACAGTATACAGTGAAAGAACAATACAGTTTACAACAGCAAATTAACTCACAGTGATTAATGTTGATACAACCAAAGACCACAATCATTGCATGATTGGCCACTTATTGCAAAGTTTTCTATTTGCCAATGGCTTTTAATTAGCTCTCCCGAATGAATTCCTTTTGCTAGAGAATAGAAAGCTGACTGTAGAAATGACATTAGTAATGGGCCATATACTGCGGCTTAAAGCTAGTTGAAAGCTCTTTAAATGCATTGTGTTTTCTTCTCTGGAAACCAGTTCCTTCTCATAGCAATTTTTAATATAACTTCAGTCAAATTGCACACCATGAACCATTAAAAGCAATTAAACTTCATTTCCACTATAACATATTGTTTAATTTACCATTCATTCAAATAAATGCAAGCTTTGTATTTTGAGCAAATTAAAAAAAAAACTGTTTAAAAAGCAAATCTTTATAATTATGCCTCAACTGTCATCAATCTTTGAGGGTTGATAAAAATGGGATGGTGACTCATTTTTACAGTTTTCATTCTCAGTTTTCTTTTTCATTTACTTGTAACAAATAAAAAACCAACAAGAGAAAATGATTATCATACTGGGATAATCCTCCTGCTAATAAAAAGAAAGAAGGGAAAACCTGATCTGAACAAGGCATCTCGCTGTAAATAATCAAAATACATGAAGTTCAGTTGCCCGTAGACACTTTCTTTCAGGATGAGTTCTGTATTGCCTTGCTTTTATTTATTTATCTATCATAACAGAGGTATTATTTACTTATTCATTAAAAAAGCTTTGCTTTATTCAGTACCTGCTGCTCTGAGATTTTATGAAATGATAATAGCACATTCAATTTATGTACAGTGAAATACTGAGCAGAAGACTTAACATTTTCTTTAAAGACCGACTGCTGTGTTACTCCTAAGGGAAGACTTTACAGTTTGATTTGTTTGTAATGTGGGACAAGGTAGTCCTTGTTTAGTGACTGCCTCATTTAGCAATTGACATTTAGCATGGTCAATTATGACCATGATGAAAAAGTAACTTTATATATTTACAGCCTTTGCCGCTCTGTAAAGCAAAGGAGAAGCTGAAGTAAGACCATAAGCACCATCACAATTTCACATAGTGACTGCTCTGCTTAACAACCAAGTTGCTGATCCCAATTGTGGACACTAAATAAGCACTATCTGTATCTGCAGGTCTGTCATAATGCTGCAGGTTATTTTAGGATGCACATTTAGGATCTTTCTCATTTCCACTTGTATCTAATGTCCTGTCAGTACCTGTCTTATGCCATATCTCCATAAGGTTGACTTCTTCTATTTTCCAGTCTGTAAGTGAGACAGACTTAAATTATCCTTAACTGTACCTGTTGTTAAGGTAGTGTTTTCTTCCTTATTCTGACATTATCTAAGAGAAGTTTTAAAGAATATAAAATCTGCTAGACTTTATTACCTTGGAGGAAATAGGTAAATGCAGTGACTGAGAACAGAGGCAACAGAGACTGGCAATAAGGATAGCATAATCCAAGTGGATTTGGCTTTTTGCCAGTTGAAGGATTCACTTAATGAGTGTGGCAAACGTGTTACTAACTCAACTGCAGTGATTCACTTAACAACTGTGGCAAGAAAAGTCAGAAAATGGGACAAAAAGCAACTGTCTTGCTTAGCAATAGAAATTTTGGGCTCCATTATGGTTGTAAATCAAGGACTACCTGAGCTCTGTTACTGCTGTCTTTTTGTGTCATATACAGGCAGGTAACTGGAATCATAAACTGAACTGTCTAATTTAATCTGTGTCCAATCTTCTACACCAGTAATATATCAAATTACTGGTGTCAAATTATTACTGTTATTATTAGTAGTAAAAGTAGCATTTTGTTATATTTTTGTATATACTACAGTTGGCAACACTTATACCATGGATTTTAGACTGTTCCATTCCTTCCCAGATATTTACAAATAATTATTTGTATTCTCAGTCTTTCTGCATTTATATAAATACGGTTCACAGCCAAGCCTTTTCTGCAGGAACTGCAATAAAACCTAGAAAAGTTATTTCTGCTCCTCATGTAATGAATTCACATCTTTCCATTGATTTAAATTTGGCAAGGATGAATCCACTAACATTTCCTCCAGAGTTTCAAGGCTTCTTTGGCAATTCACACTCCCACTTTTTGCATGTAATAGTACGAAAAGTTAAAGAGAGAAGATGAACTCTACAAATGAAAAATTGCGATGTCTGGCCATGATTCTGCCAATTTGAGGCTCTTCTCGTTAACTTTTTATAACAGATTAAGTGTGTGATTGACTATTGAAACATATGAACCTAAATCTGAATAATTAGCTGGAATAATATGCATAGCTTATTCTGACTGGTTTTGTTATGTTCAGCTTTGTTTCTTTTTACTCACCATTCCATGATTAATCCATTCAGGAATAATTGAATCCATATATTTTGGGTAAATAAGGTTCCGATCATAGAGGTACATACTCCAAAATGTAGCAAACACAAACTAGAACAAAGCAAAGAAGAAAAGTGCCAATTGACCAAATTTACGATGAATATTTATCTACGGTATATACCTATCTTACAGTGTCTGTCTGTCTGTCTGTCCACCCGTCCATCATCCTACGGCCCTCCCTTGCTCCTTCTTAAAGCAGCGGTAGGTATCAGTGGTATCAAACAAAAATAAATAGCAAAACTGTCTACATTTACACTTACAAAGGATATGGAGGCGGGTTTTTAAAATGGCAAATTTTTAGATCAACTGTTTTTGAAATGGGAGGGTGATGGGTTTACTTAGACAAGGCTTGGAGACCTTCTAAAATAGGGGTCTCCAATCTTGGCAACTTTAAGACTTGCAGACTTCAATTCCCAGAGTTCCTCAGCCAATGAAGCTGGGAATTGAAGTCCACAAGTCTTAAAGTTGGCAAGGTTGGAGACCCCTTTTCTAAAAGGTAATCCTAGGTTAACTATAGTAATTTGGACCAGGAACTCAGTTGCTAAGCCACACTGTCATAAAGCAAAATATCACATGACCACACCAACTTATGACTGCAGTTCTGGCAGTTCCAGTTGCTATTGTTAGGCGAATCCAACTGGGTGTTGTGACATCATATAGATGCCATTTATAACCTCCTACACTTTCCTCATTGACTTTGCTCATTGGAAGCCGGTAGTGAAGATTGCAAATGGTCATCATGTGACCACAGAACACTGTGATGTTGGAACTGTGAGCCAGTTGCCAAGTGCTTGAATAGTGATCATGTGAGTACAAGAATGCCACAAAGGCCGCAACTACAAGGATCAGTCATAAGTTTCCTTGTTCAGCACCATCAGAACTTCATATGGTTGCTGAATGGGTAATTGCTGAAAAAGGACTTGTAGTAACAATGTTTACCTTATTTTTTTTAAATCTTACAAAAGCAATCTAGATCTAAATGAAATCAATAGTCATTTAATTTGTAAAGAAACAAGATATAAGGCAAGAATAGGCAACCGGTGACTGCAGGGAGCATGAATATCCTTTTGTGTGATTCTTGGACCACGTCTGATGAAAATAAGACACTTTTTTGCTGTTTTGAGTTGGAAAGCAGATGAAAGCTGTAATATATGGCCTCAAAGTATAAGTAAAAAAGAAAGAGGTTCCCCTAATAATAAGTCCCATCCACATATATATTTTGCTTACATATTTTGCAGTTCTCCTTCACCAACCTCAGCTGAAGTTTCTATTAGTTCTACTTTTCATTGTAATGCTTCTTTATTTTCTTCATTAAATCAAGATCATTGTAAGCTTTCTGACTAGGTAAGCATAACTCTAGATCTAATTTACATTTGTGGCCATTAACAAAGATTTTTATGAGGGATTGGGCCTTTCAACATTTTCTAGTAACATCTAGCAGTCTTTTCTCCAGTATTTTTACTTTTCTTGTTTATCCAGGAATGACCACATTCAGCACTTCTATTTGTTCCACTGCTTTACACCCACTAATATTTTTGTTTTTATTCATATTCAGGAACTCTTAATTACACATGACCGCCACCAAACTTAACTAGAAGACATTTTGCATTGGTAGAAAAAATTCTACCCATTATGGGTTTTTTTTCAAATGTTGTTGGCATGATCCTTTTTCATAGCCTTTTTGTCTTCTGTCTAAATCTAAACTCTATCTGACACCGTTATCTCATATATGCACTGAAATCCCTGAACTACTCCAGTCCTGCAGATGGAACATTTTTGAGATGATATTTTGATACTCTTTCATATCAGTCTTACTACCTAGTAGCCTAAACTTGACCTCTCAGACGTTTTTCCTATGTCATAACTATTCCTCTCCCCAGTGCTATCAGCAACTTTTCTAGACAGCTTGTAGTACCTATAACTATATATCAGACAAAGAATTCACTATAGCATATATATTTGATTTGAAATAATCAAATCAATCACACCAACAAGGCTTCCATTTTAAAAGGAGTATCTTCAGTTTGACAGGATCTGACTTCTTTACTCAAGAATTAGGTTCTGCCTACAATAGCATTTTTATTATCCTCAAAATGATGTATTCCTTCCTAAGACCCCTATAAACATTTGGAAAGAATATACTAAACTGGGTATCAGCTACAACTCGCTCCTGCTATAACACTAAGAATTAACTTAAAATCAAATTATTGTTTATCCAAGTAATTATCTAATTCATAACACATATAATTAATCTTGCATTGATAAATATTATTGCAACTTACTGTGGATAATGGAAAAACCAAGCTACTAAAGATCAAGTCTTTAAAGGAAATCATGGTTGTGGCAATTCTTCGTTTCTTCATTAGTATGAATGCACTGGTCAGCAAGGAGATTGCATAGAAAAAAGCCTGCAAAACCTAAATTAATTACATCTAATAAGCAATTGATAATCCAAAATTAAGTTGTACATACTGTACCTCATCAAATTACATGCTTATACTTTAGAGACTAGTTTTCAGGTAAAATATATTTTTCTTGCTGGAAATGTTTTAATGATTTAGCTTGGATGATAAACTGCCTCATTTAATGAAAGCAATTAAATGTGTAGATATCCAGTCATTACAAGAAGAAAATCACCTTAAAAAAGTAATATGGATTCTACTCTGAGAGGAATTTTAATACAAAAAGTTTATTTTACAATATCTAAGTCTATGTGAAGTTGTGTAGTATTATTTTGATTAGCAGTACTGTTTTGCTCCAGAAAATCAGATTGCTTGGATCTGATGCATCAGAACAATTGAATCCAGTATTCTGAAAAAAACAAATTGAATCATCAAAGCAGAGCAATTCAATATACAAACAATTATCAAAGAGAACAAATCAAAGTGAGTTGCTGCTTATAATCTTGCATTCCACTTCAATGGGATTCAATTAAATCTCCTTTTTCAATTCAATTGAAGCCTTTATCATTTGAATCGTCCTCATGGAAATGCATCACAAAACATTCTACAAGATCAAGCCTACATTTGATGGAATGATACTTGAAATACCAAATAATAGAAGGGAAGAGAGCTAACCTCTCACTGATTCCTCTTGACCATCTATGTCATTCCCTTCTGCTGGACCGAACTTGCCATAGGGTTTATCCTGCATTACAAATTGGTCTACTACTTCTACAGCTTTGAAGTAATATTCAATGACAGCCCAATTATCTTACCACAAACTCACTGGAGGATAGGAGAATGCCATCTTTTTTGTTTGCCTCAAGCAGTAAAATGTCTAGGCTAGCTCTATAATTATATTCCAGATACTATACCAAAAGTACCAATTTAATACAAATGCATTAAAGAATACAACATTATGCCGGGAAAACAGTCATTGTTGTATTTATTTTACTTTCCTTCATGTAATAGGGAAAGCAATCTTTGGGGACATATTTGGAGTCTTGAGTACATATCAGGGCAACCCTCACAAAAAAGCTGTCATGACAGAAAACAGAAAAGGTGGATGGAGTTGGCCATAGTATATCTACATACCACAAGGCAAACTGGTCAGATCCTTGCCATGTTGTCTAGAGTCTCTAGACAGATAAGATTAAGAGGCAGCAAATGGGGTAACTGCTTTAAATGATCTCATCCATATAAGGCTTCTAATAGGGCAACATTCAGGTCAAATACCTAGGCACCAGGCCAGAAACTTGTAGGCCAAAGAGGTTATTGTGCTTAGGGTTCCCTTAATCCTCACAGCATCTTAGAGTAGGTATACACATGGGCATATGTATGTAGCAATGAACAATTTGAAAGTACTACATCCGTGATGGCAAACCTATGGCACGCGTGCCAGAGGTGGCACGCTGAGCCCTCTCTGTGAGCATGTGCACCGTCGCCCCAGCTCAGCCAGCTGGTTGTCTGGTTTCCAAGGCGCGCATGCTCGCCAACCAGCTGGTTGTCAGGTTTCCGGCACTCTGGTGCTGTCATGCGCACACACGCCTTCCGGCTTGGGCACTCTGTGCCAAAAAGGTTCACCGTCACTGTACTACATGCTTGGAGCAATGCACTATGTTTCTTTGCTGCAACCACCTGAATAAATTTGATATTATTACTTTATATATACAGAAACATAAACAAGAGAAATGATCCCTAACAAATGTAAACTATGGTCCATCATATTTTTTTTCCTTGTTAAAAGCAAATATTGCTCATTAATGATGTATGAAGTCTTCAACATGCAATATGCTGCAGCAGGATCATTCTTTTTTTAAAAAAACGTTATTAAAAGTTTTTTTAAAGGTTAAAAACTAATGCAGACTAATAAAAGCAAAGAAAAAAGAGGAAAAAAATCAAAGAACAAGTTAAAAGTACAAAAAAGGGGGAAAAGAAAAATAGAAAAGGAAGAACACGTTACAAAGAAGTGGCTTCCAATCTTCTTTACAGCAGTTATAAGTATAATTATAAACTTAATCTTTTTCTCTATAAAGTCTTTCTTCTTTCTATAATCTATCTTGTGTAATCATCTAAACCACAGATAATAATTTTATGCAAAATCTCCATAAGGGGTTTCAATCAGCAACAAACAGAAATATCGTCTTTTCTCAAATCAAAGAAGACAATTTAGCCATCTTGGCAAGTTCCATCATCTTTACCACCATTGCTTCATTTTAAGTATATAATAAGAGTGCATTCTTGAGAAATCACAAACAATGAAGACTGTGTTGTGTAAGTGAAGCTGTTTGTTTGTTTGTTTAATTTATATACTGTCTATCTCATTGTTGCACCGACTCCATGGTGATTTACCTATTTCCCCATCTGAAACTTCAACTGATTTCAAAAGAGGTTTGCTACACACCCTCCATTATTGAAATTTCCCATTTAATTTCGCTGGTGCTGACAGATTTCATTGTGGTACATGGTTAAAACCTGGCTACATTCCTATAGCTTAGTGCACTGACTTACTTTTCAAAAATATGAGTATTGAATTGTTTCATAGATTGTTATTTTAGCTGTCCCTGAAACAGGATGTGTTATAAATACTATAAATAAAAAGTGGACCATCATTTGATGAACCTTAATCCAGAATTTTCCTCCAGTTTGTAGATCTAGTTACACAGTACTTTTCTTTTTACTGAATGCATGTTAAGGTGTGGTGAATCTGAACTTGATAATTGCTTATTTTTTAAACATCTGAATTTAATTTTGCGTATTATGTTTCATTCCTTAGCACTGTAAAGGTGCATTATAAAGATCTGGGAAAATGCAAAGGCATTTCTGTGGAAAGTTTTCTGGACATCTGAAGCTCCAATAAAACAGTCAATCAGATGCAGCAATTTCTTCATATGTGTTTCACTCCTGGATTTCTATAGAACCCCTCCAAATTGCCTGCACATGTCCTTTCCCACCCCACCCCCAAATACTCACAAACTGACTATATTCATACAGGCGTATAAACTCATATAAATGCAAACCAAATCTAATAATAATAATAATAATAATAATAATAATAATAATAATAATAATAATAATAATAATATAATGATGATGATGATGATGATATTTGTGATACATTTTAAATGTTCAGTTGACTGAGTTTCATATTTAATGAATAAAAGTTAATAATAATAAATTTATTATTATTATTATTATTAATAATATCATCATTATTATTTTATTTGCTGGCAGGGCATGGATCTTTCAATCAACTCACACAAACGGTTGCATTTGTTTTTAAGCCGTTTGGGGTTGAAAAGCATGAGCTAGTGGAAGAGAGTTGATCTCTGAGGTCTCCCCATCCGTCTTGATTCCTTTATATTACAATTTTAACTTTAAAAGCAGCTCCTTTCTCCCTCTTTCTCGCTCTCTCTCTCTCTCTCTCTCTCTCGCTGGCTGCCTTAAAGTTTACACAGGCTTTCTATCACATTTTTACCCGCCCAGCACCTGGCTTGGAATCCCGCAGATTCCCGCCACGCTGGGTTTATTCGCAGCCGGAAGTACAAATAGGCGCCTTATTTGGCGAGGCTGAAGAGGCTGGGCGGCCGCGTTAGCACACTTACCACGTTGAGAAAACTCAGGTATTTCCATTTACTGCCGTAAAACGGGTTGAAGGGGCCTGTGGGTATGCGGGACTTATCCAGGTTGGCCAAGGAGTAGGCGTTGCCGTAGAAAAAAAACATATACCAGGCGAAAACAACGCCGTAGTAGACGGGGCGGGCAGAGGGGTGCATGGTGCTGGGAGCGAGCCCGCTAAGCAATTCTTTCCCCTTCTCGCGTCTTCAGCAGCCGCGGAGAGCCTCTCACGCTGCAAGATCGCCGTCGGCTGCAGAGAGAACTTCGGACGGCTTTGCACACACCGTGCCGGCTGACACTTGCGACAGCCCCGGCCAGTAAACTTTATTTTTTTCCTTTTTTTTCTTTTTTCTTTTTTCCCGTCTGTTGTTTGTCGCCTGGCAACTCTCCCACAATTCAGTTTTTCGGACAGAAATAATCTAGACGAGGTTCGCTGCAGATAAGCTGCCGGTTGGCCTTCGCTTTGATCTTTTATAACAAAGGGTGGGGCGAGTTTGCATAACTCGATGCGTGCATAAATAAAATATAGTTACGGAGGCCAGAGAAGAAAAACCAGTTGCCTATCAAAGAGATGGGCTGAAGTTTGCCCCAGAAGTGTTTGAACAGCGCCATTGCACCATCTTGAGATAGAAAGATAAAAGTTCATACTGTTTTATCTCCTCCTCCTCTCCCTGATAAAGGTAATGAAGCAACAGAGTATTTAAAACCTACCTGTTGCATTTTTTTTTTTTACTTTCATATATTTTGCAGGATTTGATGCTTTGGTGTGCATTTTCCAGTGGTTAAATCCTAGCCCCCCAAAAGTGCATTGCGATGGAGATAGTGTGGAGCAATCATGAGAAAGGGGCAAAGACTATGGATAATAGAGCCTCCCAGTAATAGAAGTAATGCTTCCATGCATGTTCTTTTTTAAAAAAACATTAATTTTCCTGTGTTGCATGATTTACTAACAGAATGGAATAAAAATACTCAGTTATTGGTAGAAATGGATACAGAATGACCCCCCCAAAAAATACCTTTGCATAGCATATGAGAAATATATCCAGATTTCCAAATCTGGAGTTTCCATGCTGTTTGTATTATGGCATCTTGCCCTCTAATCTAAGCAAAGCAACCCACAGAAATATTACTGTTTCTTATGCATAGAAATGTGTTTTTGAGAGTGGTTTATTAGCATGAAATTTGACTCCTGGTGGCATTTTAAAAGTTCCAGTTTAAGAGTTTTCTAGTCAGGAACAGTAAATTACTGGTAACACACTGTGAGCTTTCCATCTCTTGTGAAAATGCCTTAAGAAGTTTGCTAATACCCCGAATGAATCAGTGAGCACCAAGTTATAGGTAATCTTTATAGTAATACATGTACTGTATTCAAAGGCTGTAGCTGAAACAATTCTCTTTCCAGCAGAAAGTATGATTCAGCAGAAAGTATCATTCTTGTCCATGAAGCACACAGCATAGCATCATTCTGTAATTGGGCTTCTAATAAATGTGTTTAGGCAGTGGTGAAATCCAATTTTTTTTACTACCGGTTCTGTGGGCGTGGCTTGGGTGTGGTGTGGCTTGGTGGGCTTGGCAGGGGAAGGATACTGCAAAATCTCCATTCCCACCCCACTCCAGGGGGCGGATACTGAAAAATCTCCATTCCCTCCCCACTCCTCGGGGAAGGATATTGCAAAATCTCCATTCCCATCCCACTCGGGGGCCAGCCAGAGGTGGTATTTGCTGGTTTTCTGAAATACTCAAAATTTCTGCTTCTGGTTCTCCAGAACCTGCTGGATTTCACCCCTGTGTTTAGGCTTAAAAATGGCAATCTTTGAGATTTCTTTTTGAGCTAGGTCGCTGTTTTACAGTCTGTTCTTCATCTCAAGTAGTAAAGAGGTGGGGGCATGTCTCTTCCCTAAAGATTAATATGCATCATGGGTTCTCCAGAGGTTAGGCTGAAGAAGCATAGGATTGATTTGCAACTTGCATCCCTTAAAAAGAGAACAATTATGCAAATGGTATGCATCTGGAAAATCTACACATGGAATCTTTATGTTAGAGAAAACTGAGCCTGTGCTGCTGAAAACATAATTTATTGGAAGTAACCTGTACTGTGTACACTTGTTTTAAGAACTAAATCTACTTCAATCACCTCTTGAGGAAATAAACAGATGGAATCTTCTTGAACTTTATAATACCATCTTCTGAATTCTCTCGAAGAGATGTGGTAAACACACTGTTGGCGGTTCCATTCCAATTTGCAGTAATACTTGGCAATTATGCTTTAGTACTCTGGTGATTCTAGTTTGTGTTAATTACGCCATAAGGCCTTGCCTTAGAGTTCTCTAACACTAAGAGATAAGGACTTCTCTTTATAAGATTTCATATTCCTAAATGTAATTACTAGAGTTAAAGATGTAATCAACATTTCTTGGGAAGTCTTATAATAGAGAATTCTATCATGTTCTGGAGCTTTCTTTAATTTCAGTAGGAACACGGCGGCTTGCTGGGTTGGAGGTTAGCAAGCCCACATTCATGACCCAAATGCTGCTGTGGGCGGGGTGAGCTCCCATTGTTTGCTGTACCTCCTGCCAGGGACATGAAAGAAGCCCCCAACTGGACATCCCCGGACAATGGTGATGTCACCGGCTAGTACTTTAGCAATAGCACTTAGACTTATATACCGCTTCGCAGTGCTTTACAGCCCTCTCTAAGCAGTTTACAGAGTCGGCATATTGCCCCCAACAATCTGGTGGTCCTCATTTTACCCACCTCAGAACGATGGAAGGCTGAATCAACCTTGAGCCTGGTGAGATTTGAACTGCCAAGTTGCAGTCAGCCGGCAGTCAGCAGAAGCTGCAGTACTGTATTTTAACCACTGCGCCACCACGGCTCTTTCAACCCCAAAATGTCTGTACTTTTGACACGAGTGTGATGCGATTCAATTTCACTTTTTTAATTGATTTACCTTCAGTTATACATTGATTACCAACTTCCTTTTGATAAATTTTGTAAGTAATTCAAATTACTTAATAAAATATTGTTTGGTCTTTTCTGGATCATTTTGTCTGTTTACTATATAATCTGGAATAGTAATTCACAAATTGTTGCATCATCACTTTCATTGTAGAAGCATGTTTGGTTCTATCCCAGATAGAAGTAATAATGCTTTGATCTTGTTCCTTCGGCAGTTAGTACTATAGGCTAGCAATTTATCTGATTTGTAATATTTGTCAGAATATTTTTTTATAAAATTCAGCTTCCTATAGGTCTCTTACCTCTAATAAATCTGGCTGACTCCACGTTGCTTTTATCCTTTTTTCTAAATTTGATATTGGGTTAAGTATTTATTTACTCAATTTATATGGCTACCTATCTCAAACATATGACTCTAGGTGGCTAATGGCAAACAAAAACAAGATAAAAACATCATAAAAACAATACATACAGGAGCTGAGATAAACCCAATCAATATAATAAAGATACAGACTCAACCACACAATCCGGGTCCCAAGCTCAGCAATAAAACTAGATTCTTAAAGGCTTTGCAAAAAGCCAGTAGGGGTAAGGCAAGACTAATCTTCAGGGGAATGATATTCTAGAGCAGGGGTATCAAACTCACGGCATGTGTGCCAGTTGTGTCACGTGCTGGTCACCTGGTTTAGTGAAGGGGAAAAAAGTCCCGATACATCATGTGATGCTGCCGTGACATGAGTTTAACACCCTGTTCTAGAGTGTGGGAACCACAACAGAGAAGGCTGTCTGGGCACCCGTCACTCCCTAGCAGATAGGAGCCAGTGGCGGTGGTGGGATTCAGCCGGTTTGGGCCAGTTCGACGAACCAATAGTTAAATTGCTGGCTGGCCCTGCCCTTCCAGGAGTCCCCACGCGCCCCATTTTGGTTCACAGGTAAGTGCAGGGAGGCTTCCTAGGCCCAAAATGGGGCATGCCCTCCGTAGCCAGTTTTTGCTCCCAGGAGGCTTCAGGGTTCTAGGTTCAAAATGGTGCACGGGGCATCCATCCAGCCAGTCATTAGGGCAAAGAACCGGTTGTTAAATTATTTGAACCCACCATTGGCCAGAGGGTGCCCCTCCTGTTGAATTGCACAGGATGGATAGACTATGAAGGGTTCTATAGATTACTACTGAGTTGCTTGAATTGAACCTGAATGGCTTGATTCTAATTGTTTCATATTATTTAGTAATATAGTTTTTATTGTTGCATGGCTTTCTTTCTTTCTAAACTTCAGACAAATGATATACTAGCATTAGGACTTAAAAAGATTTAGGAAAAATTCTATTTCTTGGTAACACTTTAGTTTAATATCCTCTTATAGTAATAATTCACTAAGTTCATACCCATTCATATTGAGAGGTCATCTGTTTGGTCTTAACATTTTTGAGTTAAAAATCCATCTATGTCAAAGCTCCCACCCACATCTATGAAATTGATTGACAATGATGTAGAACTCTTAACAGATGTCTGCAGGCTACCTTCATAAAGTTTAGGAATAATAGTTATACAAGTAGCCCTTGTATGCAACGTGTTACAGGATGCAAGGGAAAGAGGAAGATTGGGTCTACCTGATTTGAAACTCTACTTTGGAGCTTGCGGTTTGTTTTGGATGAAGGAATGGGTGCTGCTGAGATATAGAAGGCTCTTGGAGTTAGAAGGACATGACCTGTTGATTGACAAGAGACCTGTTTCCCAGGCTTCATTCATTTCCATGGCTATTTTTGTACCTGCTCGGCCAACAATCTTAGTAACTGCAAAATTGAATGTATGTCCTTGTTCATTGCAAAGTGAGGCTATCAATAAGTTCAGGTCTCCTCGTCTGACCGCTCATTTAAATTCTTGCAGTCTGGTGGTTAGCTTCCTCCTCGTCTGTTTTACATAGTCACAGGGGCCATGGATCCAGTAGATTACTTTAGAAGTATTTCCCACCTCAAACCAATCCTTGCAATGCATTATTGGACCCCATAGTCAACAGAAGTGCTGATTTATCAGGTATTTGGGAGCCGAGAACTTGACAGCACAAGAAAACAACAGTCAAAAGCTTAATAAGCTTATTAAGCTTATTTTCAGGGAAACAGGGTACACAGATGGAACAATGGTGAAATATGTGGCTGAAAGGACTAAAATTTTTTTGTTATACTCTTAAAAAACAGTTTTTATAAAGTGACGTACTGTTGGTATCTATCACAGGAGAAATTGTCTAGAATGTATAAAGTCATTGCAAATCCATTTTTGAAATGTGAACAACAAAAAGGAACATTTTACCATATTTGGTAGACATATAAAATGCTAGAAAATTTTACATACTGTACATAATGATTCAGAAGATTTAAAAAATTAATATACAACTGACACCAGAGGTTTTTCTTTGGGAATTGATGGACAAACAATTGGGGAAAAAAGTCACAGAACTTGGTTTTTTGTAGATAATAACTTTATGCATTGTATGCACAAAGTTGAAAAGATTCAGATTTGAGGAATGGTTGGTGAAGATGATAGAACTCATTGTGATGGCTAAATTGACTTCTTTGAGCAAAGAAAAGACAATATCAATGTTTATTGCTGACTGGAAACGCCTTATGGATTTTTTTTGTGTAAAACAAAATGAATGAACTTTAGGATTTATGATTTTGGTAGGTAGATAGGATAAATTATAGAAAGTAGAGGATTTTGGTATAACTATA